TCAAAACTCAAAACGGAAACACATTTTTTGTGTTTTCATTTTTTGGCCAAATTTATAAACTGAGACCACTGATTTATAAATCAAAAATTTTATCAAATAAATTTTTATTTGAATTTTAAATTTTTATAAATATAAATAGAAAATTGAAAACGTAAGTGTTACGAGACGATAATTTAGTGATATGATGGTTTTGAAATTAGGCAGGAGGACCACAAATGATAGTGCGGACCAAAAAGAAGTCAACGCAAGTGTGATTATATAATATACATATGACCATGGCTCTCACAATTAAATGAGTTTAAAATTTTAATCCAGTTCTATGAGTTATATATTTTTCTCAAGTTTTAAAAATATCAAATTAGGTAGGGTGGGCAATTTGATCCATGACCACCTCTAATTTAAACTGTAAAATAGCTAATTTTGGCTAAAAAAAATAAAAAAATCACTAAAATTATTTGTCATATATTAAAAAAATTAAATATCATACTAATTTTTTCACTCATAACTCTTAAAAAAGTTTTTAAAAAAAGTATGAAAAAAACTCCAAACAGCTACTATTGACATAAGCTACAAATTATAGAAACTAGAGTGTAATTTGCTCTAATTAATAAAACTTTTTTGGTCGGCCTTCTCCTGCCTGCAACAGCCCACCTAAATTCTTGTGGCATGCCTCGTTTCAGAATTGATTTTTTTAGTAAATTTTTGAGACAATTATAAAAAAAAATTCAGAGTTTAAGCTTTGTAGCAAAGTAAATTTTTAATTTTGTCAATTTAAATATGAAAATTTTGATTTATTTTCAATCTAAATTATTAGTCTATTTTCGTTAAATAAAACAGATGGAAATAGAATCTTTTAGTCATTAAACTCAATGTAAGTATACATAAAATATCTAAAATACATTTTTTTCATGAGTTTAATCAATAAAATACTATTTTTTCATTGATTTTACTTAGCAAAAATATGTAAATGATTTAATAAAATTAAAAACTTTAATTTGTTATATGACTTAGATTTTGGGTTTTTTTTTTTTTTGGTTGTAATTTTTCTTAATTTTTAATTTTTTTTTATGAGATGAAAAAATTAATATATTTGAGAATGATTTTTTATTTAGGTGTATAAAAAAAAAGTGACTGTTGGATGATTTGTATTTTTTTAATGATTTTAAAGCTTTTTTAGTGACATTTTATTTTTATTTTTATTTTTTTAATTTTTAAATTTTTTAATAAAAAAAATTTATGTTGCGAAAACAAGACCTTATTAACACAAGTCTTTTAATACACCAATTAAGAGGGTTTTATACTTGGTCAGTTGGCAACCTCTAAACTCTAAAGTTTACGTTTATATAGTGTATAATATTTTAGGCATTACCAGTTACTTATCAACACAAAATGGAGTTTGGGAATTGTTTTTTCATCAGTTTTATTTTTATTTTTTGATTTTTCTTCAATTTTAGTCATTTTTAATGACAAAAAAGAGAGTTAAATTTGACTTCATTTTTTTTTTTGTTTTTTTTTTCAAAGTGTCATTCTTCTTCTTATTATTATATTTTTGATGAGCAGAGGGTCATTCATGTTAAACAGCTTGTCACATTGGTTTATTATTTATTTATTTTAATAATGCTAATGGAGTATTAGCCAACAAACCACTAAGAAACCATTAATAGTTGCAAATTCATTATGCCTTCGTTTGACATGTAAGGTTTTTTTTGACTTTTTAGTTATTTTAGTCACAAAAAGATAAAATAGATTTTTTAACTCAATACTACAAAACATCATATTCAACCTATAATCATTTTATTTTTTCTCTCATAAAAGTTAAAAAAACTAAAAAATTTATTCTAAACGAGACGTTTTAGCCTCAAATTAAAATAATTAAAAAATCAAAAAGCCAACCTTCATTCCAAATGAACCCTATAGCACGCAGTTTCATAAAAGAAGGCTTCTCTCTAATTTTCTGATAGGACTGACTTGTCCTGTTTAGACCCACGAGTGCACCATGGTTTTTACTGTGATAATAATTTAATTAGTTAAATTTCAAAACTTAGAGTACGATTTTATGGTGTTTATCTTTACAAAAATTGATTGTTTATTTTTAAAATCGTACTTGTAACTCATTTTTTAAAGACAAATATGATAAATTTTTTACTATAATTATTAGATTAGTATAATTTTTTTATATAAATGATAGATTATAAAATAAATCGATCGTATCATTAGAATAGAGTATTAATTGTATAAAAAAATATATAATTATTTAATTGTTGTTGAAAATTAGCATTAGAACACTCAATACCAAAATTCAATCAGGATAAAAAAGTCTAGTAACATAGAAATGGAACGAGATATAACTCATTTGCATGAGATGAATCTCACATCAATATAATAAGATTATGTTGGATTCTATAATTAATTTATCTGTAAACTGAATTAGAATTCGAGATCCAAAGAATGAGATTTGAGAGTCCTCAAAACGTGAATTAAAACATCTACAAACGAGGAAACTACACACCCCTCTTAATTTCCTTGTTTTCCCATCAGTTTCAACTTCAAAACTCACGCCCCAGAACAGAGAGAAACTATACCCACTTGTTCTCTCTCTCTCTCTCTCTCTCTCATATTTTGTTGTTGTCAATGATATTCCTGAGAGAGAGAGAGAGAGAGCATAGTTGATCAGCTAATCGTTATCATCATCTTCATCATAAATTCTATATTTTTGCAGACAAAAGTCTCCCAAAAACCATGAAAAAGAACAGTGAAAAATTTGCCAACACAGCGGTCTTACGGCAACTCTGTGGGTTCGGCGGCAGACAATCCAACCTCGGCGGTGTCGGAGCACGGTCGTTCAAGAAGAGAGTCACCACGTCTCCGGCCGCGCTTTGTGTCTTCATCTCCCTCCTCTTCGCCGCCTTCGTTTTCGTCAGCTGGTTTGACCACGTAAGTCTTTCTCTCTTAACAATAAGCTTAGAGATACAGAATCACTAGAATCTGCCATTAAAAATACAATTTTACTTATACCATATACATATGTCACAGATGGTGAAGTTTGTCATTAAAAAAACTGTTTTTCTTAGTTGATTCTGTGTCCGTAGGCTTATTGTTGTGTTATATGATGATCATCTCATGCATTTTAGGGCTTTGTTTCTTGTATTTGTTCTTTCTTTTAATTCCAAATCTTAACCCTAAATAATAAATGCATAAGTCTTTGTATTGTTTAGATGTATAATCTTACAAGATGTTGAAAGCAAATCCAAAAAGGAGAGTCTCTAATGGTGTGTTTTGTTGGAGGATTTGGGGAGGGATTTGGAAAGAGAAAGGGAAAAGGTGTGTGAAACTATGTGAAATTTAGGCATGTTTTATTCATATTTCACCTACCTTTTCCATTTCCCTTTCCAAATCCCTCCTCAAATCCCTCAATCAAACACAACATAAAGGCTGCAATCTCAATCAAATTAAATTTTTTTTTCTTCTTTTAAAAAAATGGCAAAGACATGATGTTGGCAAGCAAGCTTTTGACGTATGGGTCTTGCTAATTAACCAATGTTTGTAGAAGATTACCCAAAAAAAAAAAAAAAATGAAAAACACAAAACACCTTGGCAAGTTGAATTTTAGCCTTTTTTTTGGGCTAAAATTCGCAAATAGACAAAATATGTTAAAATAGCTATAAGACAAAATATTACATTAAATTCATAATTATTTCACTTTTTCCTTCACAAACATTACATCTAACTACAAAAAAATCTAACCCGTAAGGGTAGGCCAGTTGGTTGAGGACAAGGGACCAGGGACCTAGGAGTATGCTCCTCACTAGGTCTGAGGTTCGAATCTCACCCTCAGCTGGCTATTGACGGGCCACTGCGTCTTTGTCCGGTCGATAAGCTCAAGGCCCCGAGATTAGTCGAGGTGCGACACTTCAAAAGGGTGCTGGCCCAGACACTCGGTTATCAAAAAAAAAAAAAAAACTACAAAAAAATCTATGTTTCCAATTATAAAAATTTTAGTCTACTAAAATAGCAACTTTCCAAACACCCATAATATGTTTTTGAATAATGCTTGGGACCCCCTTTTGGGGGTCACCCCCTCACCCCCTTTGCCACGTGGCGGGTGGTGATTGAAGGAGCAGGAAAAAAAAGAAAAAGAAAAAGAAAATGTAACCAATGAGAGAGAGAGGGGGTCAAAGGGGGTGGGAGAAAAAGGGGGGATGAATCATTGTTGTATAGTTTTTTTGTTGATTTCATAACTTTATAATCTCATTTTGGTTTAGTTTTTAAAATTATTTTTCATTTTTTTGTTTTTCATATTATTCGTTTTTAGTAATTTTTGTAACTATATTTTAATTGTTTTTTTAACTTTTTAGATATACTTAATTTAAATATACTTAAAAATTAAAGTATTTTTGAATAATTTTTTTCCCTAAATACAAAAAAAATATGAAAGTATACTATTTTAAATATTAATTTTTAATATTAAGTGAAATTTTATTTTAATTTTTTTACAAATATGTTACTTTTTAGGTCAATTAAATTGGATGGATTTAAAAACCAAAAGCAATTGATCACACAGAAAAATATGAAAGAAAAATGTGAAAACATAGTTTGATTAGAAGACTATGCAAGTGAGACAAAAAAATGTTAGAGATTTTAAAAATTTTACTAAAATTTCTACCAAATGTGGAACCACACCCATGCAAGACATTTGGTAGAATTTTTGAAGTGTCTAGCATTTTTGCTCTAGCGTTACTCTTACATTTAATATTAGATTAATGGGAGATCCCGAAAATTAATTTAACATTTAATGGATCATTGTGTGGCCCAAGAATTACTTTAATATTATGGTTTACGTTTTAATTTAGGTTTTAAAGTCTAAGAATGCGAGTTCGAGGTCTTAGGACAAATAAATAAATAATTAATAAATAAAAGTACATGTTAGACTTGTACGCAATTTAGGCAACAAGCAACGACGTTGATTTTTGCTACTAATTTAATTAATCAAATTATAGAACTATGAAATTTTTGTCTATGCCTTGTGTAAACAATTTGGGTTAATTATTCACCCAAAAAACAATTTGTGTTAATTGCACCTTACCATCCAAATAAAGGCAAACTGCAAATAAAATCAACAGATAAAGATATTATTTTATGTGTTTCATGAATGACGTGATTTTTTTTAAATTTTTAACAAAATTTTAATAAAAATGTAAAGTGTAATAAAATTATATTTTGATGAGGTTAACTTTGAATAATAAAGTGCAAACGGGGCATAATTTAAAAAGATTTGGTGTAATTTACTTTAAATAGAAGGTTTTTTATTTACCCAAATCTATCGGATGAGTAAATGAAACTCTTAACTCGAAAGTCAAAGTCAACATAACTGTATTATTTTCCTCTTTTCTTTACTAGAGCATAATTTTTTTTTTTTTATCAGCTATCATATTAAAATACACACAATTTTTTATTATATTAAAAATATACAAAATATCAAATAAATCTTCTTTTTTTCCATAAATTTTTATTGAACCATGTCAAAATTATGCTGAGAGGGTTGATTCATCTATTAATAAGGTCAAAAGCAATTCATGAAAAAGTAAAATATATTGGAAAATGTTCCTAATTATTTCCATGTTGATATATAAGTACTTGGTAGTGCTACATATTTCAATTGGTATACTAATTAGTGTATCAACATATATTATGACATTATTACTTTAAAATTATGACCTCACATATTATACAAATTACAAATATCTAAAATTTTTAAAATTATATCACATCATCGGTCAGTATATTAATTGATATATCAATTGGTGCATATAACATTATTTATAAGTACTAGCTTGGCTCTATGTATCATTGGATCACTAACTAACCGGTGGTACTACATACACTAATTAGTATACTAACTAATGTATCAACATATGTTATGATATTATTATTGACCCCACCCAATTATATAAATTACAAATATTCAAAACCTCTAAATTTATGTTACTTCATCTGTTAATACACTAATTGATATATCAATTGATGCATAGAGCATTCTTCCTAACTAATATCATAATCATTAATCCTTACCTCCATTTTAGGGCATTGTTTCTTGCATTTATTCTTTCTTTAGTTCCAAATCTTAACCCTAAATATTAAATGGTTTAACGTTGTGTTTAGTTTGAAAATTTGAAAAGGAATTTGAAAAGAGAAAAGAAAAAGGTAAGTGAAATATTAATAAAATATACCTATATTTCAATTAGTTTTACATACATTTTCTCTTTTCTTTTCCAAATCTCCCAATAAAAATATAATCCTACAAGATGTTAAAAGCAAATCCAGTAAGGGAGAGGCTAAAGTTGGTCTTTTTCCAATCTAAATCAAATTAATTTTGTTAATGTAATTGTCTCATATTTATAATTAATCTCTTCAGGACAAAACATAAAAGAAAAACTATGAAAATGTGGGTTAAATTTAACAATTATTCTAAGAATACAAAATATTTTCACAAAATGAGATAAAAGTGTGAAACCCACATAATTGGAATTTACACGTGGAGTTCATCTTTTATCTCATATTTGTATTTAACTTTGCAAAACTTTTTTATACACACGCTTTGTCAATATTTTAATTTTGGTTCTCAAAGTTGAAAGGGAGTTTGAACTCCTAGGTCAAATAATTAGAGTTGGTGCCCAATTTAGGCATCCACTAGCTCTACTAATTTAAATAACCAAATTCTCAAGAAAAATTCTAACTACAGATAATTTGATAGTAGAATTAGACACAATAGTCTAAATGAAGTTGATTTTGTGGGTGCAATGTTTCCAAACACAATAAAAACTTGTATTCCTATGAATCATTTAGGCACACAGGGTCAGCCACCTTGCCTGGATTGGAGGTGTACAATCCAGACTTGAATTCTTTAATTACTATTTGTAAATATTTTTAATTTTCTTCCTTGAAATGTTGTTTTTCCTATATATTTTTTATTATTGTCCTTTTGTTTTGTTTTTGGCTGGTGGTGTTCTAGAATGATGACAGAATTAACAAATTATTTTTGTTATAGAACTAAATAGTCAACTTGTTTTTTTAATATTTTTCAAACTTTGAATCATTTAAAAAAAAATAATTGTAGGTCTTTCTTGACTAAAAGATTTAATTTTGTTTTATAAAAAAATTGAATCAATTTTATAAAAAAAGTTAAATGGATAAGAAAATAAATCAAAATTTTAAAATAAAAATGTTGCAAAATTAGCCTATTTTTGTTTATTTAGGATTGTTTAGTTGAGACAAAACTAAAAAATAAATGAATTTGATATATATATATATATTGAAAATTATTAAAAACTAAAATAATCCGAACTAAAAAAGGTTAAAAAAACACTTCTCAAAAGACACTCATATATTTAAATCACAAAATTAGTAGCATATTAAAATCATGCATAATTATTTTCATGTTGATGATATACAGGTACTAGCTAGCTTTCTCTACCATTGGATCACTAATTAATATCATAATTATTTTATTTTTTTTGCAGTCTATATTTTCAAGCCTTTCTTCAAAAAACATAAAACAACATTTAAAAACACCAAAAAAAACACCTCATCCTCGTTACCCACTAAACTGCACAGCATGGAACCGGACGCAAACATGCCCAACAAACTACCCATCCGTACACAAACCCACCAATCTCAACCGTCCATCAAACCAAACCTGCCCCGATTACTTCCGTTGGATCCACGAAGATCTACGGCCCTGGAAAGAGAGTGGAATCACAAGAGAAATGCTTGAGGGTGCACGTAGACCCGCCCACTTCAGATTAATAATCGTAGACGGTAAGGCGTACGTGGAGAAGCATAGGAAGTCGATTCAGACCAGAGATTTATTTACAGTGTGGGGGATCGCACAGTTGCTTCGGTTGTACCCTGGAAGATTGCCTGATTTGGAGATGATGTTTGACTGTGATGATCGACCGGTCATCAGATCAAGGGACTATAAGGGGCCTAATGCGGGCCCACCGCCATTGTTTCGGTATTGTTCTGACGGAGGGAGTTTGGATATTGTGTTTCCTGATTGGTCGTTTTGGGGCTGGTAAATATCCATCTCTTTCCTCTCATTGATTAAAATGTTTAGAACATAAAAATTGATCACAAATTAAACGTAATCTTACCAAATTTTATTTTTTTGTGGGTCTCCTTCTGTGATCGATTCTATGAACAAAAATATTTGCGTCCGATCAAAAAATTGATTTCTTTATTCTAAACATTCTTTGTTCACCTATCTCTTCTCTCATTGGTTTAGGTAACTCACTGGTACAAAAGTTTTGGACAAAAATTATTTAGTCACTCGTGGAAATGCCATGAACATATATTGACCCTTGATTTTGTGGGATCCAAACGGGACTCTATGTGGGTTTTACAAAAGTCCAAGATGAAAATGTGTTTGTGGCATTGCTATGTTAATGTTATCATTGGTCTGTTTGGAAAGAATACTATGTAACAATATTCTTAAAAAATTTAATTGGTGAGTCAGGAATTTTAGTTTGGTCGTATATCTATTTAATAATCATTTTGTTATTATTTTTCTTATAAATTTGTCATTTTCAAAACCTCATATAACTTCTTGTATTATAAACACTTTTTTCTATTTTTTTTTTTGAGTTCGTAATATTGTTAGAAATAAAACTAAGACCATTGGTTTAAGGGAAAGTTTATTTATTTATTTATTAATTTTTAATTTTTTGGGGGCAGGGCTGAGACAAATATAAGGCCATGGAAACATTTGTTGGAGGACATAAAAGAAGGCAACAAGAGAGTAAAGTGGGAGGACAGGGTGCCCTTAGCTTATTGGAAAGGGAACCCACATGTGGCTGGTACCAGAAAGGACCTTTTGAGTTGCAATGTTTCAGATCAACACAATTGGGACACTCTCTTGTACATCCAGGTAATTAAATTCATGCTCTTAATTACCTATTCATGCTTCTTTTTTTTTTTTTTTCTTTTAAAAAAAAATCTTTTCATTTTTCTAACCTAATCAAAAGATAGGAAAAAAAAAACTTCTCCCACTTTGTTTTTTACTGCATACCTCTTCTCTTTTCTTTTTATTTTCTTAATAAATTTAAAAGTTAAACGTAACATTTAATGTTTATGTTCACTCCAAAATAGGCTTATATCCTGATTGCTAAGGTTTCACTCAGATTTGAAGGAATTACAATACAAATATTGTGAAATACTTAAAAAAATCTTTACTCTACAATCGATTAATTACTGTTCAATACTTATTAGGATTCACATTTCCAAAATATGTTTCTTCTAAAATGCTTTGCAAATAATCCAAAATATTGTGTTAAACTTCAGTTTAAATGAGTTAATGTTAGTTTCTATTACAGTTGAAGTAGGAGAGTGACACAAATTTGCATTATAATAAGATCATAATATGTATTAGACTTGGACTTTTTTGCAATTTAAAATTTCAGGATTGGTTGAAGGAATTCAAAGAAGGGTACAAGCAATCAAATCTAGAAGATCAGTGTACCCACAGGTAAATTTTTAGATTATTTAACTCTCTAAGATGTCCCTTTTTTCAACAATAAGTATAGGATATAGAAACTAAATACAAAATCAGACATAAAAATTCCATATTGATGGATAGGATTTTTTTTTTGAAAAGATTTGGCTTCTTGCTTGTCCTTTATCAGATTAGAAAAGTTCCGTTGGCACTTTGTGGGCTCACCTTAAGCTATCTTGGTGATTTAAACCATTCATCTTATAAGTTCACTGAACAGATTATTCATATTAAAAATTAACTTGATTAGACATCATTAGACAAATTGTTGAGTCACATTTCTTTTGAAAAAATGAACGTTATGTGATTATGTGATCACTGTTGTCCAATCAATTTGACTTTTTACTTGAATGCTTTACTTGACAAGATCAACAAGATGCATGTTTCAAATCATCGAGATGGACATGAGGTGAGCCTATAGAAAGCCAACTGGACCATTGCAGTCTCCTTCCAAAAGTGAACCTTACCAACAAATATTTATCCATTTATGTATTTTGTGTATAATTCTATATTTTAAGACTGTTACTATTATTTTAATCTTTCTCTTAATTAATGTTTGAATTTTTGTTTGTCTTGATTTTATGATAGATACAAAATATATATAGAAGGATGGGCATGGTCAGTGAGTGAAAAATACATATTAGCATGCAACTCACCAACATTGTATGTGACACCACATTATCATGACTTCTTTGTAAGAGGCATGGTACCCCAAAAGCACTATTGGCCCATTAGGGACAATAACAAGTGCAAATCCCTCAAGTTTGCTGTTGAATGGGGCAACAATCACACTTCAAAGGTAAAAATCTCTATACAAATCACTGATCATAGGTAAAAATTTCTATACAAATCACTGATCACATAGTATGAGAAATGTTAAATAAAATAAAATAAAAATATAAAAATTATTTTATACAGAATGATACGGTTGAATATGATTTTTCATTCAAAAACAAGTACTTATGAAAATGATTTTTAATTATAAAAATGTCATTGGCAAATTATTTTAGTGAAGGATTTTGTATAAAAATTAATTAAGTAGTAATTTTGGACACCCAAAAAAAAAAAAAAATCATTAAGAAAAAATTCACATCAAACAACGAGTTTCACTTTTATTTATTTTTATATTCCTCAAGAGTAATTTTAAATATTTACAAATTTTACCTCTTTTTTTTTTTTTTTTTTTTTTTTTTTTTTTTTTTGTAATACTTTGTGTTGCCATTGTCTGATGTGAATTTTTTTTATTGATTTTTGAAAAAGTAATCTAGTAGGTTTGACTTATCACGTGACTGAGTGTCTACTTAATAATAAAGAGATATATGATCATCTTATTTGAAAAATAAGAGACAGTGGTCATGTGTCTCCTTATTACTAAAAAAGACATACCACGTGTATTATAAGTCACGCCCATTAGATATTTTTTATAATTTTTGAAATGTATATATATATATATGTATATATTTTGAGTATTTAGAATTACTCATAAAATTTTTCAATGAATGTTGAACTCCATGCATATATTTACTAGGCAAAAGCCATTGGAGAGGCATCAAGCCACTACGTTCAAGAGGATATAAAGATGGATTATGTGTATGACTACATGTTTCATTTGTTGAATGAATATGCAAAGCTTTTGAAGTTCAAACCAACCATACCTCCGAAAGCAATTGAGCTCTGTCCGGAGGTCATGGCGTGCCCTGCTGACGGAGTTTGGAAGAAATTCATGTTGGATTCGTTGGAGGAGGCTCCTAGTGACACAATTCCTTGCACTTTGCCTCCACCCTATGATCCCCAAGCACTTAAAGCTTTTCTTGATGGAAAATTTATGAAAACAAAACAAGTTGAGAGGTGGGAAAATGAGTATTGGGGCAAACAAAATGTGAAGCAATAAACAACCATGCCTCTTTGATATATGTTCTAATAATTTGTAATTGGATGTTTAACTTTCATTGGCTTCATTTGGCGCTTTATATTCGTAGGACTTGTATATAATAGTGGTTCAAGATTTTTTGAGATTTCGAGTTAGATATCAAAATGAGACCATAGGATCCAAAGCCTTTACAATTGAGGCCTTTTGATAAGAAATTTCTCTTTTTTTGAAGGCAAAAATGCTATGTTGTCTTATGATTGAGCCATCTTTAATTTTTTAGGCTTAGTGTAGTCATAAAAGTTATTCTTTCCTTCCCCCAATCTTGAGGCCTTTTATGTTGTTGACATGGACAGTAAATTTCTATACTTGTCTTGTTTGATTTAGTTTTTTAAAATTATTTCTGATATTTTTAAAGTAAAATCTAATTTGGTAAAAGAAATACTCATAATTTCCATATGATTTCTATTTTTTGGAATGGAAATCATTTTCAGAAAATTCAAAATTATTTTTTTAGTGTTTATATTTGTCAAAGTAATTTATATATTTTTTCAAAAATATTTGAGAAAACAAATTTCCGAAACTAAACCTAACACCTTTTAAAAAATGAAATTGAGTTTTGCCCAAATAAGCTAGTTTTCTGTTAATTTTTATTTTTCAATGCCAATTCTTCTTTTTTTTTTTTCTATCAAAACAAGCAAATTGTTAGTTCCTAAACAAACTCTCCAATTCAAGAATGACTGGAAAATCTTCACTGGTCATGACCTATTCAATTCATGAAATGATAGAGAAACTGAGAAACTTTTCCTGGAAATGAATTGAACAGAGAAAATTATGATAGTAACAACATAAAATTTTAAATACAAAGCCACAATCTCCTAACATGGTAAAAAAAGTACACATTCTAAATTGAAAGACTAAAATGTGAAGGCAAATACATTTTCTTGGTATATTGATGAAATGCAACGAAACGAAGAAACATCAATACAACATAGGAATATAAAATGAACCGTCACATTCCATTCAGTAAAATTTAATAAAAAAAATCATTCAAGCAAAATATTGTGCTAGCAAAAAGAGTTAGCGACACTGAGGATAGTTGGAGAATTCAGAGAGCACGAGCTTTGATGATGTCGAAGTTCATTTCGCTTGGATCGGTTGCCTGCAATTCGACTTGAATCCCATCTAGTTCTCTCTTGAATTCGTCTTTGGAGCTTGCATACAGCATTTTACTCCTTATTCTTGATGTGTCTGGTGCTCTATATGACACACAAAATAGGCACATTTACTGATAGTTAATTTGTGCTTTGGTTGTGTTTTTGTTTTCGTTTTCAGAAAACATAATGTGGGAGTTTGGTTATATTTTTGGTTATACTTTTTTGTTTTTTTGGTGTGTTCATTTTTGTTTTTGTGTTTTTGAGAAAAAAATGAAAAGTTTGAAACGCTCATCGTTTTCATTTGTGTAAAAAAATCTTTGAAAATTAATGATCAACTTTTTGATGTTTCTACCAGATGGATAAATTTTTTATTTTTTTTTTCTTCTCAAAAATAGTTTTGAAAAATAGTTTGCCAAACAAGTTCTCGGACAAAATGAAATAAGAAATAGAAAATAAAAACACAACCAAACAAGTACGGGGGGTTGTGGAAAACGAGTGCGGATCGTCTGCATGGTTCCAACTGTTCTTCCTCAAATTTTTTTTTTTTACTTTTCAAAAAAAAAAAAATCAAAAAAAAAGAAAGAGAAGAAAAGAAAGAAATTGAGAGAAGAAAGGACAGAAATATGGCCGTCACTCCCTTTCCGGCGAGCTCGCCATCCCAAACCATTTACCAACCCCTCCCTCCCTACACCCACCATCTCGACTCCGCAACCCACCTCCACCTCCATCCCAAATCTTTGTGTTAACTAAGCCCCTATTTCTCATCTTTTCATCACCGATGCAATACACCGACAACACATACAAAGATTCACACATTCACAGGAATATAGGGATAAAGTGTTGGCAAGAAACCCAAAACTTAAAGTATATTGTTCATAAATGAAGAAGCTTCCCAGTTAAACAATCATCTCTAAATTTGATTTGTATAGGCTTATTATTATCATAAAAGTCTAAAATTTTAAAACAAATAGGTTCATTGAAATTAAATAGGCACAATACAAGTAGCAGATCTATGTTCATGGCCCTGTGTTGTAAAGAATGTTGGAAATGGTTATTTTTTCCTCAAGTTTGGTCTATTTTTTAGGTGGGCCCCGAGTGTCGATTTACTCGGGTCAAAGTGGTAACGCGTTCTATGCCGCGTTGTGATTCCTAAAAAAAAAAAAAAAAAAGACCCAATAGAATTTAGCAATTCACCAGAGGGGCGAAGAAACCGGGTGAGTTGAGTCACAAATTTGACAACCACCAAAATTATATTGTTTCCAAGTTCTAATATATCATGAAACAACCCAAATCAGGCAATGAAGCTTTCCATGGCTCTGTGTTGTGTTTTCTTCACCGATCTCTCTTTGAAAACTCTAGATCTAGGGTATGTGCGTTCCTCCTCTCTCGCCTTGCCTCATCGCCAACGTTTTGTCTTGCGTCACCGCCGACTTGCCTTGCCGACCCTATTTCTTCAGCTTCTCTCTCTCATTTTCTCTGTTCCGGTTTTGTCTGTCAGGTTTAGATTGTAATGGATGAAAAGAAAGAAAAAGAGAGGTGGGAGGGAGAAAAAAAAAACCTTAATAAAACGACGTTGTTTTGAATATCACCGCAGGAATCACTGCAAGCTCCCACGGCAGAGGATCCTGATTCGTGAAAAACAATCCACTTTTTAAGAAACGCTAATAAGAGATTATTTTCAAATTTTGAAAACTATTTTAGTATAAAAATGAAAAACTACGAATATTTTGGAACTATTCATTATTTTTATTTCCACAAACTTAACAATTAAATACGAAAATGAAAATACAAAAACACAACCAAACTCCCATATTGTGTTTTTTGAAAATGAAAGCAAACACACAACCAAGCATAAAAATGAAAACTATGGGTATGTTTCGAAACCTGTTTTCATATAAAAAATGAAAACGGAGTATTTTGAATACTAGGTCTCGTTTGGTAATATTTATATTTTTTATTTTCTGTTTATATTTATAAAAATTTTAAAAACTCAAATAAAAATTTCTTTGGTAAAATTTTTGATTTATAAATCAATGGTCTCAGTTTATAAATTTGGCCAAAAAATGAAAACATAAAAAATGTGTTTTCATTTTGAG